ATTGCACTTGAAAGTTGAAAACCAGGAAAACAACTAACAACAACAATATCTTTGTTTCACAAACTGTGAAAACAATTGTTGCTGGATAACTGAAAAAAGAAGAATAAAGGACTTATTTCAAAAGTAGACCACTGCCATTAGAAGATAAAGCTTTAGTAAACCTTGCTAATACCTTTTGTGGCTGGGTACTCATCGTAACTACAGCACTCAACAGGCAACGAACCTGAGGGATAAATAAAAAACAATGTCTAACAGATTAACAAAAAAGGTGGTTGCTGTGTTACGGTTATCAAATTCACAAGTTTCTAGTCACAACTGACAAACCCCAAAGAAATAAAAAGAACTGACGTCCTTACTTCAGTAGCCAAAAACTTAAAAGAGTACTCATTAAAATAAAAACTGCACATGAAACTCCATAACTTGCAAGAACAAGCATAGTACAGCAATACGAGTTTAAAAGTTCAATGTAAATAATAATAATAAAGATGCAAGACAATTTTACAACATTACACAGTTATTTGTAGGTGTATCAGAACATATATTTCAAACGGCAAGAAAATAGTAAAATTAAGAATAGTTTCTAAGTTAAAAAAAAAGAAAGATCTTGATAAAACAAACACAAATCAAAGTTACAAGAAGTAGAAAACAGCTTAAACATAATTAACTAGTTCCATTATAATTTAGTACAAAATATTGGAATAAATTAACATCAAAGTTTAGATTTCACCCTATTTGAAGTGTAGTTATGGAGTAAATATAACTAGGAAAACAAAAAAATGTACGTGCAAGTCCACGGGATCACGGTATTTCTTTAACTATTACACTTTAAGTCAGAAACAACTCTTGTATTTCATAGTACCGTTTACTCTGGTAACAGCATTGCAATAGACAAACAACGTTCTGTTTATTTACTGTTTTTATTATTGAATTGTTTTAAGAAATACATTATACTGATGGTTTAAGATACTAATAACTTTATTAAGCTACCACTGGTACCAAGGACAATAAAATCTATGGCAAAAATAAACTCTTGAAAATGTTTGTACTACAAGATTAAGTTTTGAAGTTTTTTTCTATTACAAACAGATAAATATACACGTTTAATCTTAAAATGATGATTTCAAATACAAATTAATTACACACAATATTGATACACATTACTAAGACACAGGCTATTATTTAGTTGTTGTTTTTTAGTCAAAAGGAACAACACGGTATATTTCTCCAAAACTGTTAATGCATATTTGCAATTTTGTTTGAAAATACATAATGTCTGCATTAGGCACTACATATTTTTGTAGTTTGTTTGGTTTTTAGCCACCTTAATTACTTTTTCTAACATCCAGTTATAATTCCAAATATGAAACCTGCTTTTATAAGATACTTGTATTATTTTTCTAAAGTTGTTTAATTTTTCAGATCAACATAACCAAAAACAAGCTGGAAAAGTTCTTTGTGAAGCACTTCACCAAATTTTAATGATATATAAAGTTTTTCCTTAGTGCTGTATTGGCAGAAGTTGAGATACCAATCACTTATATTTACTTCATAGTCAGAGAAGGGAACAATGTCATCAACAGGAACAACAATGTCACGTCTGGATCCCCAGAATGTCAGATGAGCCACTTTTACCACTTGTCTGTTTTTATGTATATAAACAAAACCAATTAACCTTCTAAAATAACTGCCCATCACATACAGCATTGTACACGCAAGTAACGTCGTGCAAGAAACATATTTTACACCCTGTATGCCTATAATCCCGCCAGCATACAAAAACAGTGCAACAGGTATACATCCAATAGTGACGCCAGTTTGAAATAATTTCAAACGGTTGATCAATCGTGCCTGAATAATATAAGGAAATCTGTATATTGTCACCCAATCATTAGATAATTTCTGGGGTATGCCTGAACCCGATACGGTACGACACTGTTGACGTACTTCAAAATTTTTAATTATGGTTGGTTTCGTAGTAGAAACGGCCACGAAATAAGATGTTCTATAACATTTATCACAGGACTTTACAAGGCGGCGTGATAAACAATACGGAAGACTAGAATGACAAAAATGTGTCAATGCCATTGATTAAAATAAATTAATTACTTTTATTAAGCTTATTTTACAATATTATCTATTATTTACTGCAGTCTGCGAGTATTACTCAAACGTTCTTATTAAAATACAAAACATACCAACATTTCCAATCGGCATACCAACTCTATATTCACCCCTCTGGTGTCAAAAATATAAAGGTTTCTCTAAAAGAAAGAAAAATATAGTGCAGTTTAACGTGATTTTTATCACAGTGATTTAAATCTATTGGAACTGTAAAATAATAAAAAGAAGTCTGTGAATCAACTACCTTTATTTTCAGGTTTTGGTTTTACACAGAGGCGTCACTTGGCACTGGCACATAGGGCCCCTACCCAAATTCTATTTGACAGTGCTCATAATCCCCAGTTGGTGTCTTGAAAATCTGAATATAAAACTATGATCAATATCATTCTGAAACTCCGAAAATTCCTGCATCTATGATCCTGAGCCCTGAATCTTTATATCCCCCAGTGGTACAACAGTATGTCTGCGGACTTACAACCCTAGAAACATGGTTTCGATACCCGTGATGGACAGAAAGCAGATAGCCAATTGCGTAGCTTTGCGATTAACTATAAACAAAACAAAATATTTTATTTAAGCACGTAGCGACGCCTCTATTTTTAAACGCCACCAGTTGGCACAGCGGTATGTCTGCAGACTTACAACGCTAGAAATCGGGTTTCGATGGCCGTGGTGGGTAGAGCAGAAATAGCCCGTTGTGTAGCTATGTGCTTAATATCAACCAAACCGCTAGTTTTACACCTATATCAAGAATTACACCTACAAATTAGTAATACTCATAATCGTTAAACAATTCTTTAGTCGTTACAAGAGAAAGCCTGTTGAAGTATTTTATTAATAGGCAAAATATTGTTGCATCAGCGAGGTCACGTGACAAGTGTCACGCCACCTATTTTTTAGAAATATCCTGTTCCTTCGTGAATGCCCTAGCATTTACTAGATATATGTTAGTCTGGTATATATATAGGACGCTCACAACGTGACGGGATAATGTGTGTGTAGGTAGTGAGTAATTGAACTGCAGTCAGAAAGTATTGTTGAAGTTAACGTTCGTTGTTATAGCGTTTGTTATAGCGCAACTGTTGAAAATAAGTGTATCGTAAAGTTGTATTCGGAAAGAATAAACCAGTTTTATTAAGTAAGGACTTCTGTCGCTAAAGTTTCGTCGGAACGAAGTTACGGAAAATTAATTAACGACTGGAGGCGTAACAATATAAATGAGAATAACGTTTTGTGTCAGCGAAGCATTATCTATAGATTGATTACTACCTGTAAGAAAGACAAATTATTATTACTGCTTATTCGTGATCTAATTTCACAAGAACCATCGAGCTATGATATTGAACTTTCTCGACTTTTTGTTTGCTGCCACCATCCTTAATTTTGAAATGAAGAACGGTTCGCAATTCCTTCGCCAACTTATAAGCTACGCTTTAACAATGAATATTGGTATTTCCAGTCACATTATAATGCTACCACTGATGAAAGGGCGAATATTATCTGCGCCAGGTTTCGATCCTCTGACCACCAATTGAAAGATTTAACCACTAAGCCATGCTAGACTATAATGTTTTGTGCGATGTATTTATCTTTAAAATAAGAAAAACGTGAACGAGTAGATCTAGAGGTTAAAATGTGCATATAATGTTTTGTTTTACTTTTTGTTTAAATGTTTTTTTCACAGAGCTAAGAACATGGAACAAACTAGTCTTCATAGATGCGAAAATTCAAATATTCTGATCACACGAGAAAGTCGTAACTCCTGATATTTGATTAATTATTACGTAGAACCTAAAATAATGTTAGAAGCGCCCTTTATTTTTCCAAATCTGTTAAAGGTCTCACATTGTCCTTCTAAATCAACTGTCCCGCACTAAAAATCTGTACTATCGTATAACAAATTTTTTTATATATTTTTACATATTTGCACTGAACTAAAACAAAAAAGTGCATTTTTATGGGATTGTCCAGGAACCCTAAAGTAATATACGTATATATTTATTGCATATTTTCCCAATATAATCATCCACTCTTCCGGTACTTCTTAATGATATTGCTTAAAAATAGCAGGATCACAAATATTCATGACATTGGATGGATTTACTACGAGTAATTTAATGAACAGATTGACTGGAATGGATAGTTGCAATAATACAATTATTATTTTGTTTGCATTTTAACGGCAATCAGTGCTTTTGAATTTTTCTTAATTTTTCAGTATAAAGTCAGCTTTAGTATATTCAAATCGATAAATTACATTGAGACAAAGTTAGGGCAACTTGATTAATTAAAAAGTATCGGAGCTGTTATGTTCGGTTATTTTATTTCATCTTTATTATTTGACAATAGGCCTGTAGCTTTCAACTTTTGCATTTGTGGTGTATTTGCTTCATTTTGGTTATTATTCCAAGTGTTGCTCAACGAAATCATATATATATATATATTTATTTAAATTTTAATTTAGGGTAATCCCTCTATCTTGTAAATCCAACCATTTAAATTGCTAGTCAAGTTCCACGTGCTATTCAGCGTTTCATATTTTGTAACTTGTAGGAACTAGCAGTGATTGTAAATATCTGTTGTATTTTTTTCTTGACTAATAGTTTTCGGTTTAGGAGATCATTTTGCTAGATTAATTTATTTGAACATAACAAGTAAGAGTTTTCTGTATATTAAACGCTTCTACTTATAAAAATAAAATGTTCTTTTTAATTTTATCACTTATAGTTATAAATTATATTTAATTTTAATTTAAATACATTCTTAATATCATTATTATTAAGCCTAAATTATATATATATAAGCTTACTCTTTGAAGTTACTATAATTTGTAAAGACTTAACTTTAAAGTTTAAGTAAAATAGACACGTTAATTAAGACTGCCTACTTATAAGTTATAGTCCAAAATTCAGGTTATATATGTGGTTTTAGCTAAGTTTATTGTTTTTGCTTATTGGATCAAGTAAATAAGTTAGATCATGAATTTTTAACTTGGCCACAGAACAATTGGCATTGGCAAGTTCCAACCTTTTTATAGTTATACTGCTTACTCTCAATCATGGATGAATCAACAATATATGAACGCTGAATGCAAGCTAGTAAAATATTGGACTGCCCTCTAGTTTTTGGGCTTTGAGATTTATCTCCTTTTTAATGTTTTAAAGGATTCTCATATACCTCCAGAGGTATGTGTACCACAGGTTTGGAACCTCTGGTCTAGTCTGTATCGAATTTAAAGTTGTGATCGTAACTTGTTATGGAAGAATATTATAGATTAGTTACAATTTCAAAGTTTCACACTGTTTATTCATTGTAGACACTTCAAGCCTAATAGTAATAGCTTTATTTCAAGGAGAAAACCTTATGTCTTATGAACATATTTTAAACTGTATTTTAGAAGAAACTATCACTGTAAAAACATTTAAAAACTGGTTTTGTAAGGTTAAGTCTTTAATTAAAAAGGTTCACAACTTATATAAGAAAGTTTTATGCTCTATTCATATAAAAATAAGAGATAAATAATATATTTTGTTTCTTCACAAGTTAATTAACACTGAGGACTTCTATAATTGGTGTAGACCATCAGAACTTAGAAGGTTTTATTCCAACAGTAATTGGTATTGAATGAAGCAGCTAGATGTAATGCTCAGAATATAATTGTTAGACTATGCTTGAAAAGTGTGAAATGTTAATTTTAATCTCAAGATTTTAATGTCCAGCTTAGTTACAGATGATTGATATTGAACATTAATTCTTTGTCCTAGAGCATAATGTTGAAACTACAATCGTATCTGATAATGATATATTACACTGGACAAACCCACTGATTCAAAAATTCAACATATTTTAAAAAAATTAAAATTAAGCTTTAAGACTTAAAATTTATAGTGTGTTAATAGTTCTTTATATTCATAATAACATGATTGATGAAAATATGTGATACATTTCAGTACCAGATGTGCATGAACACTTAGATTTTTTTTAAATTAAGATAAATATCTTTTAGAACAGTGGTTCCAAATGTCAGTCTGTTAATTGGTGCTGGTCCAGAGGCTGATTTCAGATGGGGAAAATGTTTACTGTTTTACAAAGTCATATAAAAATACTTTGAAAGATAATATTTCATGAAGCATTATGTGAAATTTTGGGGCTGTTAAATGTAAGGAACCACTTACGTAATGAAAACTTGTTAAGCCGTATTTAATTCAGAATAAAAAACTAAAACTTTTGACACCAAAGCATTAATACTTTTTTATTTATCTTTGTAACGTCATAAAAAGAAATATATCGGATATTATGGGGATATTTTGAGTCAGTGAACGAAAGTTTGTTCTCTTGAGTTACGTATCTTTGTTATGGCATTTCTTAAAAATATAATAAACTGACTATTGAGCTACTTCCTGCACTGACATAAACTCTTTGGCTTATTTTAGGCACTGCTAAGACATTAGGTTAGTGATTTGAAGTTTTGATAATTCAAGGCTGTCGCGGCCAAATCAGATTAAGATTTTAATACAGCTCGTATGATTTAACGTAGATCTAATGACATTGATATGTTCATTAAAGTTTTATTTTTTTTTAAGATATTGATATTTCGTACTACTACGATCATTTGAGGCTTGACCTTAGTGGTACTACTTCAATCATTTGAGACTTTACCTTAGTGGTACTACTATGATCATTGTGCGACAGGTGTGTGTGTGTCTTGTTCCTGAAAGCACAGTTACTATTCAAGTGCCAAAATACTATAATTAATTTTAATGTTTTAATCGTGATTGTATTATATATATTTTTATGTAAACAATCTCGTACATTTTGTAACCTAGGATTATCAGTTTTTGATTGGAATGGTAACCGGAATCAGAGTATGTAATTTTTGACTTTGATATTTTATAATTTTTTGCAGTTTCACTGTGGTGACCGTGTGAAATATCTAGGATAACTTGCAAAGCAACAAGAAGGACGTTTCTAGTTATATGTTTGTGTTGGCACGATTCTCTTATCAGGACGATGCAAAAAGAAGGCATTTCTAAAAAGCACAAACAGAAAAGTAAAAAGAAGGCTGCTAAAGAAAGTAAAACTTCAGTTCTGGAAAAAGCCCATAAATATGTGGAGGCAACAATTACTAGTGTAGAAGATAAATCAGGTCAGTATGAGAATAAAAGGAAACTAGAAACAGACTTTGGTGAGGGTGAGGAAGTGGTTTTTAAAAGAAAAGCTACAGAAGCTGACAAAGAAAGAAAACGAGAGAAAAGTCGCCTGAAGCGTCAAAAGAAGAAAGAACAAAAGGCTAAGAAACACTCGGAGGAAACGGGTGCCAAGGCCAAAGAAAATGCTCTTTTATACTTGAAGTTGTGGCACACTGATCGACATAATTGGTCTTTCAAAAAAATTCAACAAATATGGCTTTTGAAGAACCTTTACCAAACGGAGCAGGTAGAAAACTTAACCTGTTAGTAACACATACCATCATGTATGTGATATGTACTCATCATTCATGTACTTTGTTTAAAGAAAGTTTCATGTTGGATAGTTTTATATAGACCACTGATGCCTTCTTTGTATGTTGAGTTCTTTAAGAGAACTGATAAAAAAACTCAAGCAAAATCCAAAACATCATTTCTAAAATCGGAGAGAAAGCATCGGATAGTCCGTAGAAACTATTCAATAATCCTTGAAGTACTTTAAAAGTTTCACTCGTTAGGTTTATTCCGAGATGTAGTTAAGACCAGATGGGCGAGTTTGCGATCAGAATATTATTCGTTCGACAAACCTTATCATCTAAGTAGCATTTTTTAATAAAAACAAGATACAACAATAATGATAATTTAACCTTTTGAAGTTTTGGTCTCGTAGAAAATATATTGACTTTAGTCTTGGTCTCGCCCACCCAGATCGTATGTGGTTTAATTTACTGGTAAATTAATTATACCTCATGAAAAAAAAAATGTAGTATATAGGTTTGCTTGTGTGATAAAACCTTTGGAATTTGTGTGAAATAGGTATAACACTGTCAAGTTTTTTTTTCGAAC